TCGGAGATGGAAGGCAGCTGTATGGAGTCCCCAGCAACAAGCTGCAGAAACTGCTGAAGGGGACAGTGAATTATTTTGAGTCTGGTGGGCCCATGGCACTTCAGGCCATCAGAGCAGAGATGCAGCACAAAGATGGACTCATGATCAAGGGGTGGACTTAGCAATGGACACTATTGCCCAGGTTATTCACGAGTGTGAACACTGCACACAGTCTCTCCTGCTCTGGAAGACTGTTACAAGAGGTGGAGCCTGACATCATGGACCAGATGGACTCAGCAGCTTTATAGGGACTGGTCCATGCAGTAAGATAAGAGTGCACCGAGATAAGAGTGATGGTATATTGAAAATGTGGGAACTGAGCATGACGTGAATGGTATGGAATAAGGGGTGGATAATGTCCTGGGTTCAGCAGTAGCAGTCATTTTTTCTCCTTCTTGGTAGCTGGTGCAGTGCAGTGTTTTGACTTTCAGCACGGGAACAGAGCTGATAACAAGGATGTTTTGGTTTGGCCAAGGACTTTGTGAGCCTTATGCTCTGCCAGGGAGGAGGGGAAGCCAGGAGGAAGCAGAGACAGGACACCTGACCCAAACTGACCAAAGAGGTATTCCATACCACAGCACGTCATGCCCAGGATGTAACTGGAAGTTAGCCGGAAGGGCTGGGAGACTGCAGGGTTGGAGGAGGTATGTGTTGGTGCTTGGTGGGGCTGAGGGGGGCGAGTTATCGGTCGGCTGGTGCTGAGGTGTTGTATTCTCTTCCCTTGTTATTTTCTTTATCATTGTTATTATTGGTGGTAGCAGTAGTGATCTGTGTTATACCTTAGTTACCAAACTGTTCTTATCTCAACCTGTGGGAGTTGCATTCTTTTCGATTCTCCTCTCTGTCCCTCCGGGAGCAGGGGGAGGGCAAGAAAGGGGGGGAAGTGAGCAAACGAGTTACCTGACTGGGTTTAAACCTCGACAGTTGTGAAAGCACCCCAGGTGGGAGCCGTTGTTGGTTGTGGTGGTATATTTCCCAGGAGAATCCTGGTGGCCTTTTTCACCTGACGGCCTGTTGAGCCCTGGCTTTGTGCTGCGTGGAGTTGGAAGAGCTTTGCTAGAAGAAAGGGCCAGGAGGTGTCAGAGGTTGGGATGCAGAACTTTATTGAAACAAAAGTTTCAAAATGGAAATATGCAGGCATAAGGAGGAAGAGAGCTGAGGTGCAAGTATGGTGACCATGCACTGAGGTCTTCTGCATGCAGTGGATTTTGTCAGAGCAGCAAGGTCTTTCAGTCTTGACTGGAGATAAAACAACTGGAGGTCTCCCGCTGCTGTTTAGCCTGTAAGATACTGGTGGGGCACACAGTTCCGCACACAGCAGATGGGGTGGTGCAGAGAAGGAATTTGGAGAAGAGGGAGACATCCATGGGCCATGTTACCAGGCAGCCTGGTAAGGCCCCTTCTCTGCTTGCTTAGTGCCAGAAGAGAAGGAGCTGCGGAAGGTGAACTGGTGTGCCAGCATTACCCCAGGCGTGCATCCACAGTCCATACCTTTGCTTCTAGAATGTAAGTGAGCGGTTTCAGGCGTGCTGTCAATGGCCCTTAGCAGATGTTGCAGCCTCTTCCTCTGCCGTAGCAGCCCAGGCCTCCGAAGCCGTAGCCAAGGCCGTAGCCGAAGCCCCCAGAGGAGACGGGCACTCCCTGGGCGCTGAGGACGTTGCCCACGGCAGCGGATGAGGAGGATCCGACGGCGGTGCTCTGGGGGAAGGAGCTGAGGATGGGTCCTGGCAGGGTGACCAGCACGGCGGGAGGCTGGATGACGACGCGGGAGTCCTCGCACTGCCTGACACAGGGCTCGTTGCAGCTGTTGGCCAGCGGGGTGGGTCCGCAGGGGCGGCAGAGGTCGTAGCAGGCCATGTCTGTGGTGTGGAGGGGCCCTGGCAGGGGAGAGGAGAGGAGAGAATGGAAGAGAGGGTGTGGGGAGAGCGGAGGGCGTGGGGGTGCGAGGGGCGGTGGTGCAGGAGGGCGAGGCAGTGGGGAGGCTGGTGTGGGGCTGTGGTGCTGGGGAGGTGTGAGGGGTGCTGAGGCTGGGGCAGAGCGTGCTGGAAGAGCCGGGGCAGGGGGGCGGGAGCAGAGGGCAAGGGGCTTGAGGCTCACCTTGTTGAGCGCGCAGGAGAAGGCGTCAGCAGAGGCGAGTGAGGGACAGAGGCTCTGGGCCGGCTTTTATGCTGGTCCTGCAATGCCTGAGGGGGCTGAGACAGTCTTTGTGCATGACAGCATGTTTGTGCAAGCAGCTGGTGCATGTCAGATCCTCGCAAGCAATTAGTGTTGGTTGTGTTTTCCTTCCAAGAGTTCTGGAATTTAATGTCCTCCTGTTGAGGACGTGTCCTTCTGGCCCTGGCGGCAGCTTTCAAGTATTAGAGACCAAAGGCTTGGTGTTGATGGTGCATGTCAGGGCATTTGGCAGAACATGCAATGAAAGTATTGGAGAGTTGCGGTGTCATCATTGATGTCATCCTGTGCCACTCATGTCTGTGCTTTGTGGGTTTCTTGCAGTGCTTCCTCATGGCTGAAATAGAGCTCATCCCTTTGTATCAGTGAGAAAATCAAGAGGGCAGATCTGGCACAGTAGAGGCTGGACAGCCTGATCAGTGCCCAGTGTTAGGCTCCATTTACGATTCTGAGATTTACAGGTCAATCTTTTCTGTTAGTTCAAGTTTATGTCCTAAGGTGATAATGACATACAATGAAGAAATAAGAAACCGGGGCTGTACCCATTTTTGCCCAGTGCAGGTTAAGATTTAAATTCACTTCTTCAGCAGACAAGTCATAACCTACAACATCTGAGTCTTCTCATAGTGTACTTATGAGCAAAAATATGTAATTACCTGCCAGTGGTAAGAGTGCTCCTTCTTCCTGCTCTGTCATGCTTTGGATTTTACTTGTGTCACTCCTGGAAACACGAAAGCCTCAGCATTCCAGGAGCTGCTGGATCTACTTCAAAAGAATTTAAGGGTTAGCTGATGCTTTGTACCTTCCAGATTGGAGGTTTGGTCTGATGCCTTTCCAAATGTAGTGGTTTCTGAGTGAACTGCCAGACAAAAGGTGATGTGCAGGAGACAGCAGTTTCCAGGTGATAATGGCTGCATAATGCCCCTACAGCCCTTTCTTGCCACGTGTTCTGCCTAAATGGTGCCTCATTTTGACCTCATGGCGCTGCTCCCAGCATACCTCAGGCCCCACCAGAAGCTGGGGCAGCCAAAATCAGAGCAAGAGTTGAGTGAACAGTCACATGCACCCCAGGATGCGGTTTGCCCCCTTGTGTGCCAGGGCACACTGCTGACTCCTATTGAACCTGCTGCCAGGCAGCACCCCCAGGTGCCTTTCTGCAGGGCTGCTCTCCAGGAACTCCTCTCCCAGGCTGTGCTTGTGTCCAGCATCGCTCCATCCCAGGCGCAGAATCCAGCATTTGTGCTTCTTACATTTCATGCCCTTGATGGTTGCCCAATGCTGCAACCTATCTAGATCCTTCTGCAAGACCTCTTGTCCTTCAAGAGAATCAACAGCAACTCCCAGTCCCATCAGCAAGCTTGTGAACAGTGCATTCAACTGCTGCCTGTAGAGGTGTGATAAAAATATTGTCCAGAAATGACCCTGGAATGGTGCCCTGGGGAATATTGCAGGTGACCATTCACAAAGCACATCTGGCTCCATTCAATTTGAGACTTTCAGCCCTGCTCTTGAGGAGTTCTTTATCCAATGTATGGTGTACCTGCTCATGTCACATTTGAGCAAGTTGTCCAGGAGGATGTTGTGAAGGACAAGAGTTCAGCCAGGGCAGATGCCAAGTCTTGTTTGTGGGGAGAAGTGACCCCGTGTAGCAGGAATATCTGTGGGACCAATGGGTTAGAAACCGTCTTAGGAGAGAATGACGTTGTGGTGTAGTGGAGCAGAAATGGACCATGAGATGACAACCTACCCTTGTAAGAAAAGGGTCCACCAGTCTCCAGGGCTTCATTCAGTGGTGCTGCAGTGGGTAAGGGGAGGGCAGCATCCCTTGCTTGTCAGAAATGTTGAGGAGAATGCCATGTGGGATTCATTTCTTGGTGCCCCAGTGAGGAAGGACTTGGACTTTCTGGAGCAGGAGCAGTGCAGGGTCACCAAGAGCCTGGAGGGTCTGCATCATCTTTCATAGAGAAGAGGTTGAGAAGTGAACCACCCAAGAGAGGAGGATGTGCAGGGTGCCCATCATCAATGGGAGTAAAGCCGCTGATGGCAGGGAAAGAAGTGGTGGGAACCCAGCTCTTGTCACTGGTGTGCACAGGCAGAAGAGGCTGCCCTGGGTACAAGGGGAAAGAGATGGGATTGCATGGGCAAAACAGGCAAGCCTTTTGCCTGTGTGGAAGGGCAAAGAGTGGAAGAGGTGGTGGAGTCTCTGTGCTGTGAGCTACTGAAAACCCAACTGGCCATGGTCCCACACATGCAGCTCCAGTTGTCCTGTTCATGAAAAGGGATTAAGTCAGCTCCTCTGGAGAGGTTCCTGCTGTTGAAAGTGATTCTGAGGAGACTCGGGCTGGCATGTTGGAGAATTTATTGAAACAAAAGAATGAAAATGTAAGAGCAGCAAAAGCACCAAGTGGAAGTGAGACAGTCTGAAGTGCAAGGGGTGCAACCATGAGCAGAAGACTTCTGCTTACAGTTCTTCCTGCCCTGCAGCGCAAGCAGCATAGCAGAGGTCCCCCCATATTCTTTGACTTGTAAGAAGGGGTTTGCAGCAGAGAGTTGTGGACACAGGCAAAGAGATGATGCCAAGAAGGAAGTAGTACAACAGGAGGAGGTGCAGGGGCAATATTTTCAGGCATCCTGGGCAGGCCCCGCGCTGTTTCTTCTCTTGGTGACTCGAGACGGGGAGCTGTAGACGGGAGGTCCCCATGTCAGGAACTGCACAGAACTGCATCCTCAGACCTTGCCATAGCTTCGAGGGTGTGGGTGGCTGGCTTCATGCGTGATGTCAATGGCCCTTAGCAGATGTATCCCCTTCCTCTGCCGTAGCAGCCCAGGCCTCCGAAGCCGTAGCCAAGGCCGTAGCCGAAGCCCCCAGAGGAGACGGGCACTCCCTGGGCGCTGAGGACGTTGCCCACGGCAGCGGATGAGGAGGATCCGACGGCGGTGCTCTGGGGGAAGGAGCTGAGGATGGGTCCTGGCAGGGTGACCAGCACGGCGGGAGGCTGGATGACGACGCGGGAGTCCTCGCACTGCCTGACACAGGGCTCGTTGCAGCTGTTGGCCAGCGGGGTGGGTCCGCAGGGGCGGCAGAGGTCGTAGCAGGCCATGTCTGTGGTGTGGAGGGGCCCTGGGAGAGGAGAGGAGAGGAGAGGAGTGAATGGAAGAGAGGGTGTGGGGAGAGCGGAGGGCGTGGGGGTGCGAGGGGCAGTGGTGCCGGAGGGGGAGGCAGTGGGGAGGCTGGTGTGGGGCTGTGGGTCTGGGGAGGCGTGAGGGGTGCTGAGGCTGGGGCAGAGCGTTCTGGAAGAGCCGGGGCAGGGGGTCAGGAGCAGAGGGCAAGGGGCTTGAGGCTCACCTTGTTGAGCGCGCAGGAGAAGGCGTCAGCAGAGGCGAGTGAGGGACAGAGGCTCTGGGCCGGCTTTTATGCTGGTCCCCGAGGGGCGGGACAGCCTTTGCGCATGGCAGCATTTGTCAGCAAGCAGCTGGTGCGTGCCACAGCCTGGCAAGTCATGAGCTGGGGCGTGTTCTCCTTCCCACAGTGCTCCCTTTGCATGTCCTCCTGGTGAGGACGTGTCCATCTGGCCCTGGCGGCAGCCTTGAAGTGCAAATATTAAAGGCCAAAGTGTTGGTGTTGACGGCACATTTCGTGACACTTGGCAAAACATGCAACCAAAGCATTGAAGAGGTGGGTTTCTGTGAGTGAGGTCACCTCTTAGCACTTTTGTGGTGTGGTTTGTTGGTGCCTTGTGAAGAGGTTTCCCATATCCTTGTAGCTGTGTCAGGGGAGGGCAGTTTGCAACAGCAGGCTGTGCTCCTGGAGGCTGTGCTTGAGATCTGGTTATTCCTGTGATGTGGGGAGCACTACCAATCCGTCCAAAAAAGTTTGCGTTGGCCCAATTTTAGTGCTACCCTCTTTTACGAGTGGCACGTTTGCAGCCTGGCCTCTGGTTTGCTGAAGTGCTTGATGTGGGGCACCTTGTAAGGAGACCACCTTTGTAAGGGTGTTCTACTTTGAAATGATGAGTTTTGTGGACAAGGAGAGTGCTGTTCTGTTGTTTACCTCAGTATTCCTGCAAAACCTTTGATGCTTTCTCCCCTTGCATGGTCATGGGGTGTGGGGTCACCTGTGTTTGTGGGCAGTTGGCTTGAGTGCTCTCTCAGCAGGTTTAGAGATGATGCAAAATGTGGAGAGAGACTGAGATGCTGGATGGTTGTGCCATGATGTAGAGGGAACGGGAGGTGCTGGAGGATGGGCAGATAGGAATCTCCTGAAGTTCAACAGGAAGAAATGTAAAATTTTCCATGTAGGGAGGAATGGCTCCTGTTGTCAGAACGTACTAGAGCCTGAGATGCTGGAAAGCAGCTTTTTTGAGTAGAGCTTTGTGGGGCTGGTGGAGAACAAGCTCAGGATGGTGCAGCAATGCACCCTTGCAGCAAAACATGCCGAGATTCTACATCTCAGCATTGGGAATAGATTTGCTAGCAGATTGGTGTTGTGGGGGGTGGTAATTGATCTCTTCAATGCTAGTGAGGCTTTGTGTGGAGGCCTAAGTCCAGTCGAAGTTTTCTCCCTAGAAGAAGGACACGGATGTGGTGGAGGCAGTCCAATACAGGACCACCAAGATGCTGTAGGGAGTGGAAGATCCTTGCTATGAGGAGAAGCTTAGCAAGGTGGGAGGGTTTTTTTCAGGTAGGAGGCAAGGCTGCCCAGGGCAGATGTCATCAATGTGTCTATATCCTGAGGGGGAGGAATTGAAGACAAGGGAGAGAGAATGTTCTCCTCCATGCCATGTCCAGGGCATGGTGGAAGCTGTAAAGATGTGCCTTTTTCCCTGACTGAGAAGGCAACACTTTTTCGGTGTGATTGTGGTCAAGCAGTGGCAGTGGTTGTGCAGGGAGGTTTTGGATTCTCCACCCTTGGAGATACTGAAAACCTGACTGGGTATCTTTGACAGCGTGTTCTTGCTGAACATTCTTGAGGAGGCTGTCCCGAAAGAGATGATCCCCAGAGGTCCCTTGTGCACTAAATGATTCTCTTTGCTATGATTCTGCTTGTTGTGATGCCCAGGTAGCTGTGCTTGGAAAGAGACTTGATGAAGTGTGTGCTGCCATGGGGAGCTTGGGTCAGAGGTGTGGGTAGAAGTGCATTAGCATTTCCAAGGTTTATGGCAAGGGAAGCGCTGGTGTCTGGGCTGGAAGCCCACAGGAGGGTTTTGCAGGGGATTTAATGCATTACTGTGTTCTGGTGGACCTTTTCCTCCAACTTGATGGCCTATTGAGCCCTAGCTTGGTGCTGCTCGTGGTTGGCTGAGCACTGGGTGAGGCTTGGATGCAGGAGAAGTTTATTGATGAAGAAAATGGTGAAAAGGCAGGAGAGCCAAGGGAAACAGTGTAACGTAAAAGTAGGGCAACCATCAGCTGGGTCCCCTGTGTGTAGCAGGTGTTGCCTGAATCCTGAGGTTTTTGTGTCCCACAGAGGGAGCAGTGCACTAGAGATTCCCAGTGGGGTTTAGGGTGTGAGATAGTGTTTGAAGTGGACTAGATCAGAATGAGAAGTGAAGAGAAGGAATTTGGAGAGTAGGTATCTCACCCTGCAGCAAGGGGTGGAATGGACGCTCTACTAATCCCTGGTGAGCATCAGCTGGAGTTCTGTGTTGAGTAGAAGAGAGACATGGAGCTCCTGGAACAAGTTGTGGTGCCTGGGAGCAGTTCCAGTAGGCTGGGGGAGAACTCATGCCCCTCATTGTCAAGAAGATCAGGAGGTACATTCTCAGAAAGTAGAGGCTGTTGAGCCTGACCTCATTCCCACAGAAGGCGACGGAAGAAACCTTCCTGGAGAGCAGTGCCATGCCCAGCAAGGTCAGGGTGACAGGCTGTGGTTTAGGTGTGGATTTTGGGAGTGGAAATTGTCCTTGACCAACCTCTGTGTCTTCTCTGTTGAAGCCACTGGGTGTTGGCAGAGGTTAGAGCAGTGTCTATTGCTGAGCTGTCCTTGAAGGAAGCCTTTGTCACTGTCTCCCATTACAAGCTCCTTGTAAGCAGAGAAAGTCTGGGTTGTGAAAGAGCCCAGTGAGGAGGACTGCAAAGTGGCTGAAGGGCTGGGCCCAGAGGCTTGTGGTCAGTGGCAGGAAAAAGGGTTCTGGACTCAAGGGAAAAAAGGTGAAATTCCATGGGCAAAGAAGGAAATCCTTTTTCAGTGTAAGGAAAGTCAATGAGTGGAAGAGGTTGTGAAGTCTCCAAGGTGGAAGCTACTGACAACCCAACTGTCCATGTCTAAGACAAGCTGCTGTAGCTGGACACTCTAGCTACTAACTCTAACGAGTTTGTCAAGTGTGTGCTGGTAGTCAAGGTATGCAGAGGGGAGCGTTATCGCATCGAATCATTTCTTTGAGACTTTGGATGGGCATGTGTCATGTTCTGGAAGGCCTCCACCTGCCACTGTGTATTGTTGTTGGGTGTCCTGGCATTTATCCTAGGAGATGACTAGTGGCCCTTTTCCACCAAACCTAATGGCCTGTGGAGACCTGACTTTTGATTGGTGAAGGTGGATGATCCTTGGTAAAAGAAAAGAAGAGGAGGCTTTTCAGGCTGGGATGCAGGGGGACTTTATTGAGGAAAAAGGGTTGAGAAGTCAGAATCACCAAGTGGAACAAAGAGGATCTGATGTGCAAGTAGAGTGACCATCTGTCAAGGTCTTCTGCTTGCAGAAGACTATGCCAGAGTTTCAAGGCCTTCCTACTTTGCAGAAGGAGCAGATCCCTGAAGTTTCCCCCAGTGTTTTCTGCCCTTTGAGATGTTTTTTATAGCAGAAAGTACTGAACATCACCAAAGGAATGATGCACAGGAAGAAGTGTAAAAAGAGGAGGATCTATGCGATATGATGCAAAGAGGCTGGTCTGGCCCCCAGCCTTGCTTCCTCTCCTGGTACCTTGAGATTGGAAGCTGTTGTGGGCAGGTCCACTCATCAAAACCAGCAGAGACATGCATCTTCAGTCCATGTCTTTGCTTCTCGAATGTACGTGAGTGGTTTCATGCGTGTTGTCAATGGCCCTTAGCAGATGTCACAGCCTCTTCCTCTGCCGTAGCAACCCAGGCCTCCGAAGCCGTAGCCAAGGCCGTAGCCGAAGCCCCCAGAGGAGACGGGCACTCCCTGGGCGCTGAGGACGTTGCCCACGGCAGCGGATGAGGAGGATCCGACGGCGGTGCTCTGGGGGAAGGAGCTGAGGATGGGTCCTGGCAGGGTGACCAGCACGGCGGGAGGCTGGATGACGACGCGGGAGTCCTCGCACTGCCTGACACAGGGCTCGTTGCAGCTGTTGGCCAGTGGGGTGGGTCCGCAGGGGCGGCAGAGGTCGTAGCAGGCCATGTCTGTGGTGTGGAGGGGCCCTGGCAGGGGAGAGGAGAGGAGAAGATGGAAGAGAGGGTGTGGGGGGAGCGGAGGGCGTGGGGGTGCAAGGGGCGGTGGTGCAGGAGGGCGAGGCAGTGGGGAGGCTGGTGTGGGGCTGTGGGTCTGGGGAGGCGTGAGGGGTGCTGAGGCTGGGGCAGAGCGTGCTGGAAGAGCCGGGGCAGGGGGGCAGGAGCAGAGGGCAAGGGGCTTGAGGCTCACCTTGTTGAGCGCGCAGGAGAAGGCGTCAGCAGAGGCGAGTGAGGGACAGAGGCTCTGGGCCGGCTTTTATGCTGGTCCCCGAGGGGCGGGACAGCCTTTGCGCATGGCAGCATTTGTCAGCAAGCAGCTGGTGCGTGCCACAGCCTGGCAAGTCATGAGCTGGGGCGTGTTCTCCTTCCCACAGTGCTCCCTTTGCATGTCCTCCTGGTGAGGACGTGTCCATCCGGCCCTGGCGGCAGCCTTGAAGTGAGAGTTGGTGTTTGGGACGATTTGCATGGAAGATGCCTGTCAGGCTGTTTTGCAGATACAGCCATGGCCTTGGAGGCGTGGTGTGTCAACACTGCGGTCATTCCGTGGCACTTGTGTGTTGTGGTTTTTGGTGCCTTGTGAAGAGGTGGCTCCATGTTCATTGCAGCCCTGTCAGGCTGGTCTGGGCTCTGGAGTTTTGGTGGCATGAGGGGCTGCCTCTTCCATCCCATTTGTTCCCTCCCTGCCTTGCTGCTAAGTCCCTTAGCTTGTCTTTAGGCCTGTCCTTTCGCATTGAGTGAGCTCTGTGGTCGTCAATGTGGATCTCCTTGTGCCCTTTGTGCTTTTATGGTTGTAGCTGGAGAAAGGGGGCTGCCTACTTGTGGTGTGGAGGGGCCCTGGGAGAGGAGAAGAGAGGAGAAGAGAGGAGAGGAGAGGAGAGGAGAGAATAGACAAGAGGGTGTGGGGAGAGCGGCGTGCGTGGGGGTGCGAGGGGCGGCTAACTACAGGCTGGTCAGCGTCATCTCTGTGCCAGAAGAGAGCATGGAGCAGATTCTCCTGGTAACTATGCCAAAACACTTGAAAAAGGGAGAGGTCATCACTGACAGCCAGAGGGGCTTCACAGTGGGTGAATCCTTCCTGACAAGTTTGGTGTCTTTCTGTGAGGGGTTATAGCATTGGTGGTTAAGGGAAGATGTAC